CCAGTGAAATATATTTATGTTTGTGGTTGTAATGTGACAAAATATGGAAAAGTTCAAGGGGTATGAATACTTTTGCAAACCACTGTATCACAATATAAAACTTATAATAGAAAATAAATAAATCACACATTAATTGAGTGKAATAAATATGTTTAGGTAAAAAAATTTAGACCTTAAAATCTCCTTTTTTAAGGGACACTTTAACTTTAATGTAATAGATATCTGTTTGGAATCACCTGCTTCGTTTTAAGGTGGTAAAACAAATTGTTTTTATTTTTTCCTTTCTACACACTTTGTAGATTATTTTTTCTGCACTCCACGTGTTTAATCTGTGCTTGCTCCGGCAGGGTGACAATCATCCTGTTTATGCTTTACTCTTTTTTTGAAAGACAGTCTGACTGTCACCCTTTCTCACAGCACTTCTCCGCTGTACAAGGAGACAGTAAAGGCTGAGTTTTATAGTCGCGCTTTGGAGCGTGCGCGAAGTGGGTGCGGAGTGCGTGCGCATTTGGTGCGGCATCGCGCTATGACCGCAGGAGAAACGAGGTCCAGACTCAGCGAGCTTTTGTGCATCCTGGAGCACCACTACACCTGCACTGACAGTCGCCTCACTGCGTCAACATGTGCCGCGGCGCGCGCTCCTCCCGCAACTGGCAGTGTGGTCGGTCCGACCGGAGGACGCGCCGTCACATAAACATGTAAACAGTTCGGCGTTCATTTTCACACACCCGAACCAGGTCCGGATAAGTTATGCCCCCCCTCCCCTTCATTTGTGCTCTCAGCCACACTGCTTCCCGCTTCCTCTGTTTTGACTCCAGCCGGTTACATCATCAAAAAGTATTGCGCACTTGTCCGGTAGACTACAGATCTCTATCATAGGACAAATTTTTATCGTTTCTACCGTATATCGTTTATATCGCGCATTCCTAGCAAATGGTGGAGAGGAAAAACTCCCTGCTAATCAGGAAGAAACCTCCAGCTGTCATGAATCACGTCTGCCCTGCTCTCACTTCACGTCATAGTTTCTCACAGCCAAGTTTTTCACTCATTGCTTCACCCCTCCCGTCACAGAAATCACAATCAAGCTCATTCCACTCACCTGCTGCCACCAGTATTTAAGCACCACTTCTCCACAGCTTCAGTGCCAGATTTATGAACGGTTCACCCCTAGTAATTATCCAGCGTTTCCATGTCACGTCTTGCTTGCCTCGTCACGACCCTCCTTCTGTTCCTCGGATCCAAGCCTCCTGCCTCGCCCCCGTCTGATACCGTCGCTGCCTCTGACTTCCTGGTTCTGACCCACGCTCTGACTCCTGGATCCTCGCCTGTCGCCTCATCCCCGTCTGATACCGTCGCTGCCTCTGACTTCCTGGTTCTGACCCACGCTCTGACTCCTGGATCCTCGCCTGTCGCCTCATCCCCGTCTGATACCGTCGCTGCCTCTGACTTCCTGGTTC